TTTTTTTTTTTTTTTTTTTTTTTTTTGCGGTACTCGGGCCTCTCACTGCTGTGGCCTCTCCTGTTGCGGAGCACAGGCTCCGGACGCGCAGGCTCAGCGGCCATGGCTCACGCGCAACCGCTCCGCGGCATGTGGGATCTTCCCGGACCGGGGCACGAACCCACGTCCCCTGCATCGGCAGGCGGACTCTCAACCACTGCGCCACCAGGGAAGCCCCAAATGCCATCTTTAACCTCACTGCTATGCCCAACACCATGACAAGCGCCAACTGGTCCAGTCCCATGCCATAGCTCATTCCTCTACTCTCATCCCATCCTCAATCCCATCCCCGTGTGCAACTTCAACCCTTTCCCCTCTTCAGTCTCACTCCCACCCCCGAACCCCAGGTCCATCTCAGCATCCCCCTTCAACCCCATTCACCTCCCCAACTTCCTCATTCAGTCCTAGTCGCACTCCCAGCCCCCATTTTCAACCTTAACCCCAAACTCAACCTCTTAACCCCATCTCCACACCCATCCCGTCTCAATCCTAACCCCCCCATTTCCAACCTCCAACTTCAACTGTCTGCATTCCTCTCAACCCCAACTCACGTCCAGACTTCTTCAAACTCGCCTCCATCTCTACCTTCTTTCCATCCTCAACTTTCACCTAAACTCACCTCCAAGCCCATCCCTACCCCAAACTCCAGATGACATTCTCAATTCCCTTCCCATCCCCCTCTTCCGATTTCAGCCCCAACCTCACCCTAACCCTAAACTCCCTCATCCTAGCCTCCACCTTCATCCCCATCCGCTTCTCCAGCCCCAGCCCTGCCCAATCCCCACCTTTCTTCAACCCTGTCCCCGACCCTGCCTCTATCCCCCCACCCCCATCCCCACTCCTACCCTCCCCCCATGGACAGCCCTCGCTGCCCCATCACTGGAGAGCCCTTCCTTCAACCTGATGCCTGATGCCCTCCACATCCTGCGCCAGAAGCTATTTCAGCCCCTGCTCCCTAGGGACTGGGAGGGCACCACAGGGAGGTGAGAAGGGAGTGACTCAAGCCCCCGCCTTCTGGAAACGGATGGGCAGAAATAGCACTGGCCAGGAAATAGTTTCTCTGCCAGGGAGGAAGCGGAGGGGGCTGGAGGTGTTGGGGGTAACCCTGGGCCACTGGGACCCTCTGCCTTCACTCAGGGGCCTCCCGAGCCCATGACTCCCCTCTCCTGGGGGAGTGTGAAATAATCGGAGAGCCAGGTCACCCCTATAGTTGTCCCCACCCCCGAAAGACCCATCTCTGGTCTTCATACCCTCTTCCCACCTCCAGGCCCCCACCCTGCCCCCCAGTCCACTGGCTCTCTCCATCCCTCTCCCCCTTCCCTGGCTCCGACTGTCCTCCCTTGGCCGCCCCACTTCCTCTGATGCCTTTTTTTGACCCTGATGCCCTTTTTCTATCCCATCCGCCCTCAACTCCCCTAACTCCTCCCCACAGCCTCACCTACCCCGATACTCTCTTCGTAGCCCTGACCCCTTACCCCAAGACCTAAGCCTTTCCTTCTCCCTCATTCCCTTAACCCCACTTCCTCTGACTCCTCCTCTCATCTTACCCTCTTCGGAATCAGACACCCTTTCATCTTTGACCTCCTTATATCCAGACGCCTTCTCCCATCGCCAAACCCTCTCCTCCCTTCCCTGACCGCCTCCTGTCCCCTCCCCCTTGCTCCCTCCTCCCTCTCCGCCCCCTCCCTTCTCCTAGGCCCCTCACCTGACAGCCTTCTCTCTTCCCCTTCTCCTGAAATGCCCCCACATCCCTCTCTGCCCCCCACCTTTACCCTCCCCCGACCCTCTTCCCCTCGCCTTCTCCCCGCCGTCCGCCCGGTTTCCCAGCCCCTGAGCTCCCGCTTTGCGCCCACAGTGCTGGAGATCCTGAGCTTGATTCAGCAGCGCGAGCTCGCACGGGCCGACGAGCACATCTTGGAGCTGGAGGCCGAAGAGCTGGCGTCGTCGGGGGGCGGCGCGCCCGGGCCGCCCAAGGCTGAGGGCGCGGGCCGCCGGGCCCGGGACGTGGCTCTGCTGTACGAGGCCCTGCAGCGCGAGCTGTGGGCGCTGGTGCGCGAGACGCTGGCGGGCCCCGGGCCGGGCGCAGGCGCCGGGCCGGGCGCCGTGGCGCAGCTGGGTCAGGTGCTGGTGCAGGAGGAGGCGGCGGACGGGCGCCGGGGACCCGAGGCGGCCCGCAAGCTGCGCGCCCGCTGGGCGGAGGCGGTGGCGCGTGCGGCCCGGGAGCGCCTGGAGGCTGCGGCGCCAGGGGCGCCCGGGGGCCTGGCCGGGCAGCTGGAGGCGCTGCGGGGGCGGCTGCTGGAGGATATGGGCGTGGTGCGGGGCCGCCTGGCGCCCTCCTACCCCGCCGGCCTGGGCGCCTTTGGCGTCTACCTGCGCGGCTACCACGGCGCGCTGGCCGAGTGGATCGGGGCCGCCGCCCGCCGGAGGCTGCCGCTGGCCGACCGCTACGCGCTGCTGCACTGGCATAACCAGGTGTACCCCAGGTAAGCGGGGGCCTAGGGATCGGCTGCCCCAAGGTAGAGTAGAACCCTCGCTTTCCCCCACTCCTTCCAGCCCCGGCCCCTTCAGAACCTAAGGACCCTCCTGGACCTTCATTCCTAGAACCTTAATATCGTTGACCCTTCCAGGCTCAGCACTGGTGACAATTACAACCCGAGAATCTTAGCGCTCTCCACGCTTCCCGCGCTAGAACCTCAGCAACTGGGATCCTTCTGATCCTAGAACCTTACCACCCGCCATCCTTCCGGTCCTAGAATCTTAGCATTGTTGACCCTTCCAGTCCAAGAACCTTTAGAATCATCAACAGTACACTCTTAGAATCTTAGCACTGCCCACCCTTCCAGTCCTAGAAACTTAACACCAATGACCCTTCTCATCCTACAATCTTGGCACTGTTGACCCTTGGAATCCTAGAACCCTTACACTGCTTTCGCCTTAGACCCTAGGGCACAAGCGCCGATGACTCTTCCAATCTTAGAACTTTAGAACTGATGACAATTTCAACCCTGGAACGTTAGCGCCAACGAGCCTTCGAATCCTAAATCTTAGCTTCATCCCCCCTTTGGATCCTAGAACTCTGACACTTGTCGGTCCTTTCAGTTTTAGGATGGTAGCACTTTTGGTCCCTTGAACTCTATAATCTTAGCATCTAGAACCTGAGTACCATTGACCCTCCCAGTCCTAGACTCCTATAACCATCGAGCCTTTGGATCTTAAAATATTTCCATTCTTGTGGCTGGGGGATGGGGTACGGTGATCAGCTATGACTGGGTCCCTACAGGCTCCAGGGAAAAGGGAGTTAGCCACACCCAAACCACACATTGGAGGGTGAGGGAGTGGGTGGCCCCTCATCGAAATCAAGATGCTGTCACCAGAAGAATGGGAAGGCCACAGTTAGCAACACTGACCTGTTGGTAAATATCCCATTTGGGAATATATGTTCATGACACTCACATGCCATCCATGAGAGATGGAGGCGGAATAGGGAGCCTGGAATGGTGAGACATGAGTTAAGTCTGATTTGCAGGGAGATGGGGATTCTGGCTGAGACGATGCCATGAGCAAAGGCCTGGTGTGTGCAGGGGTGGTGGGGAGGTGTGGGGACAGCGCTGGCACGGCACAGGCCTGGGCATGCAAGAGGGTAGAGGCTGGGAGTGAGGGCTGGAGTGGCGAGGCCTCCAAGGCTAGGTGACGACGTAGGGACTAGGGGCGGAGGTGGAAGGGAGCTTCTGTCTGGTGAAGCTTTGGCGGGTGAGACCTTGCGTGCCAGGTCACAGAGCCTGGACTTGACCCCTACGAGTCTTGCCCGGACACCATCCATCAGGGAGCTGACTCAGGGAACTGGAGCCAGGGGAGCAATAATTCCAGAGACTTCCTTTGAGGGATGAGCAAAGCTGGCCCCGAGAGAGGAAGGGAGAGGCCCAGGTCACAAACACACAGGCTGTGAAGGGATGGAGGTGGGGAGGGGTTCAGCTCCCCAGCCCCACCTCTCACAGACCACCCCCCCTGTTTCTTACCCCCACCCCCAGAGAGGTCCTAGGTCTGGTGGACATGGTCGCCCTGGAAAATGGGGAGCTGGAGCCCCTTCTGTCCCCTGGCACCGTTCGTGGCTTGGAGGATGAATGTGTCACGGACGTTAAGGTACCTGGAACTTGGCTTTGCTGATCAGGGAGCCGGAGGCGCTCTGCAGAGGGATGGGGGGTCACACTGAGCTTGGGGGCCTCTCTCCGCCCCCTTTCCCTATCTCCATCTCCGCTTGCCCTTTGTGGACTTCCGAGTTCCGTCCAACAGACATAGAAATGTAAGCCCATACTGATCACTTCTGTCTTATGTTCAGTGTATCTAACTCGGCCGGGCGTGGAGACACTCAGTGAAGGTTCAATACATTCAGACACTTCAAATCTTACAGCCAGAGAGAGTCAGTCACAGAACCTCAGCTCGCAGACTCAAAGACTCACAGAAGGAGGGCATCAAAGCATCTCTGCATATAAGCAGGGCTGATGGCAAACACGGTTAATAACTGGCCGGGCACAGGCACCGCTGAGCAGGATGGTCCAAGCTGTAAACAGCCATCCCAGCCACAGGAGTGTTTCTGGTCTAAAAGCCAGTCCTGCCCCAGCCACAGAAATCAGTATCTTTGCAACTTGAGAGCTTTGAATCTCAGGACCGAACAAGTCTACGTTCTCAGACTCACTGAATTGAAGACAACATAGGACCAGAGAATCAAGAGATGTGTAAACCTTAGAATCCTAGACACTTGGAATTCTTGAATCACAGAATTTGGAAGTCGTGAAAGAATTGTCTTGCAGACCTGAGAGCAGAGTCTTAGAATCATCAGATAATGAGAGAATAAGCCCTTAAACCCTGTGGCTATTAGATGGAGGAGGCTTAAAACCACAGACTCAGTATCAAATGCCAGATTGTAGACTTAGGAATGGAAGGGGCTGGGGAAGTTTTCTGGTCTAGGCTCTCTCCCCAGCGTCACCTTGATGAGCTCATAGGTAGAATCCAGAGCTGCAGGGGGGCTAAGGGGCAGGACGGCGGGGAAGAGGGGGGAATCGTGGTGTGAGAAAGGGAGGGAGAGGCTCCCAGGGACTCTGACTCCTGCCTCTGCCCCCACTTCCCCACTCCAGGCTCAGACACGGGCAGCGCTGCTTCGAGTGCTGCAGGAGGACGCGGGGCACTGGGCAGGTGCGGAGGACCGGTCCAGCAGCCTGGCACAGGATGTGTGTGAGGTAGGGGGCGGGGAAGAGGAAGGACAATCAGCTGGATGGTGACCAGTGGGAAAGTGGGACCTCGCCTCCTCATCACTTCTCATCCCCCTGGACCACGCAGCTGCTGGAAGAGCACACAGAGCGAGCGCCCCGCATCAGCCAGGAGTTTGGGGAGCGGATGGCCCACTGCTGCTTGGGGGGGCTGGCAGAATTCCTGCAGAGGTATGGAGGGCTGGGGGGAAGGGCGCAGGGCTGGGGTGGCGGTGGGGCATCTGGACCCGGGAGCCAGCAGAGAGAGGAGAGCTGAAAGTGAATCCGGTCAGGACGGGCAGGGGCGCCTCTGTGGGGATCACAGGCTTTGCTGGGCTGAGTGCCCAGCCAGGGACCCTTATCCAGCGCTGCTCCATCGGTCTACCGTCCTCCCCTTCTCCTCTCACTAGCTTCCAGCAGCGCGTGGAACGATTCCATGAGAACCCAGGAGTCCGGGAGCTGCTACCCGACACCTATATCAGCAGGACCATCTCCCTGGTCAATTGTGGGCCCCCCCTGAGGTGAGAGCACCCACAGTATGTGGGCGAGAAGGCCAGTCCTGGGTGACAAGCTGAACTGGGGTGCCTGGATCCTGGGTGGGGATCGCAGAGCTAGCCCCGAGAGGCATATCCAGGGGACCTTAGAAGCATAAAACCTGGAAGTCCTAGAAAGAACCATAGCATCACAGAGCACTAGAATTATAGAGTAATCAGAACCTGGGAGTGTTAGAATTACAGGAACCTAGAAGCCAGACTCTACGGATTACGTGTTTTTAAACATTTTTTTCTTATAATACTTTCCTCGTATAGTTCATTTATCATGTTGTGTTGATTTCTGCTGTACAGCAAAGCAGTTCAGTTATATTACTTTACCTTTTTATTAACTTATTTTTACTTGAATTTTTAAAATTAGGAATGCATTCAAGATACAATAAGGCACGCAGTGAAAAGCCTCCCTCCCCCACTCCTTCCCTCCAGTTATCGCTAATGCCTCACATATCTTTCCAGGGGTATTTGATACATTTACCAGTAAATATGTGTAAATAAGTGTATATATGCATAGACACACTTCATGCATATGCATAGATAGCCATGCATATGCATATTTCATAATATACAAGTAAATCTATTACTTTTCCTTTAAAAAAATACAAATGGTAGAATATTGAACACACTCTGTCTTTTTCCACTTAACACCTTGGAAATCTTTCTGTTAGTGCCTGAAGAGTTCCCACCAGCTTCTTTTATATCTTTTATAGCTGAACTGTCTTCCACCGCTTGGACGTGCCATCATTCATTTCATCTGTCCCCAGTGGATGGACAGTTGCCTCCACTCTTTTGTAGAGAAAAACCTGGCACATCTGTCAACTCCCACAAGTGTGGGGACCAGGGATACATTCTCAGAAGGGGATCTGCTGGGATGTGGGCAGAAAGTGCCCAGTTGCCCTCTAAACCAATTTATTCTCCTTTCAGTGATGGAGAGGGTCATCAACTGTTACAATGACAGAAAATGAGAAGGGTCGAATTTTAGAATTACAGCCCTTTAGAAGCACAGACTTTTAGGATGGAAGCATCCCCACTCTCACCCAGAAAGTAGCGAGAGAAATAGACCCCTTCCTCCTCACTCCATCCCCCAGACGCCCAGCCATTCCACAGAGCCCCCCAACCCCCAACCCTCCAGACATCCCCTGATATTTCTCAGCCCCCAGGCCCCCCCAGAGCCCCTGACTTCCCCCAGCTCCCCATCTGACCTGTCGCCCCTGTGCCCCACAAAATAGGGTCCGTCTCATGGGAGACAGGTCCAGGCAGTTGGGCTGAGATGTTGAGGCTCCTTGACTTTTGGTTCCACTGATCCCCACAGGGCTCTGGCGGAGCGCCTGGCCCGGGTGGGACCCCCTGAGAGTGAGCCGGCCCGGGAAGCTGCAGCCAGCGCTCTGGACCGAGTGACCCGACTCTGCCACCGCATCCTGACCGACCTGCTGTTCCAGGAGCTGCAGGTGAGAGAGGCAGTGGGCTGGGTGGGGCCGGGGCCAGGACAGGGGAGTGCCCCCACCCCATCCTGCAGTTCCTTTCAGCCCATGACTCAGTGTTCGGGAAGCAGAGGGGGTGGGGGGGTGATGGCCATGTCTGGGCCGTTTAGGGGGACGGGGGGGCGCAGGAAGGAAGAGGTGGGAGGATATGGTCAGGGGGAGGATAGAGAGCGATCAACATGAAGGGGCCTAGGGGACTGGGTGGAACCCCTCCTCACTGAGGTCCTCCAAATCCCTGCCCAGCCTAGGGCCTCATTCACTCATCCCTGGGGTCCTGCACATGCCCAGAGGGGAGTAGGTTCAGAGGTGGGTGAGAGCGGGGTGAGGAGCTGGTGGGAGTACCCGGGAATGGAACTGAGAGGTGTGCATGTCCCTGGTTGTGATTTGTGCTCAATCCACATTGTACGTCGGGTTGTGTCCCACCTCTGCTTAGAACCCTCCATGGCTCCCAGCTCACTTAGGGCAAAAGCCAAAGTCCTCCCTGTGGCCCCCGAGGCCCACATGGTCTGCCCTTTCCCTCTCTGACCTCATCCCCTCCCACTTTCCTCCTTGCCCCTCGCTTCTCCTTAACGCGTCAGACACATTCCAACCTCAGTACCTCTGCACCTGTTCCCTCTGCCTGGACTACTCTTCCCTCAATAGCCACAAAGCTCCCTCTCTCACCTCTTTCAAGTTTTGACTCAAATGTCACCTTCTTAGAAGGACCCCCCCTGACTGCCCTGTTTAAAATAGAAGCCCCTGAGATTCCCACATGCCCCCCCC